CATGTTTCAAAAAAGCTATTATTCAAAGACTTCAAGACTAAAGTCTTTATTGTTTCTCCTTTGAGTTCAACATCAGTTATAAATATTATACTTTTTTCTCTTTCGTTTTGTAATTCATAAGGGTATTGGTGAAGAATTTGACAAAAAACGTCTTTTAAGTGCATTCAAAAAGAAATTTGCATGTAATGGTACTGTTGTTGAACATAAAGAATATGGCGAAGTAATTCAACTTCAAGGTGATCAAAGAAACAATGTGAGTCAATTTCTTCAAGACATTGGACTTTGTCAAGCTGAACAAATAAAACTTCATGGTTTTTGAACACAAGTTTTATTGTTCATAATCGTCAATTTTGACGTTATTTGCTATTCAAGAAAAAAAAGAGACTAATCAAATATTCGTTTTGTTTTTTTAATATGAGTGTGTGCGTCTGTATTCAATCTCCTTTTTTCTATATCTTCTGTTTGTCATTCATTCATCTATTTCAAATATATACATATATATACATCCATACCAAGGCAATGTTTTCAATTTCAGACATATATATATACATATTTCTAATAGAAACTAGATGAATTCAAATCAAACATCAATGTTAAGTGACGAAGAAGCTACTCTTTATGATCGACAAATTCGTTTATGGGGTGCTGATGCTCAGTTAAAGTAATAAGAATAACTAATATTTATTCTTAATTTGATTATTATGCTTTTTTCTAGACTTCGTCAAACACGTTTATTACTTATTAATGTCAATAGTTTATCAATAGAGGTATGTAAAAATTTATGTTTAGCTGGTGTTGCTAGTATAACGGTATTTGATAATACACGTGTTACATCAAATGATATTGAAGAAAATTTAACATTAACAATGTCATCAACAGATATAAATGAATTTAAATCGGTTTGTACATGTCGAACTTTACAACAATTAAATCCACGTGTACATTTAATTGCGGAATCAAATATGACAATTGATCAAATTGATGAAAAATATATTGAACAATTTGATTATGTTTGTTTATTTAATTATTATGATTTTTCAATTGTATCACATCTTAATAAACTTTGTCGAGGACAACAACATGTAGATGAAAATGGAAAAAAACAAGTTTATTTTTTTTGTGCCGGTACATTTGGATTATATGGATTTGTATTTAAAGATCTCGGTGATAAATATGATTATCTTAGGTAAATATTATTGGTATAATTGATGTTCAACTCGTTCACATTTTGAAAGTGAATTAATTTTGATTGAGATTGAATAAGTATTATCTAGGAAATCTATCGGTGAGATTCATCAAATCGAGAATATTAATTAGTGAGCTTAAAAATGAGATAGAGTTCCAAAATGACAATTATACAGACACCCATGGGTATCCTTATCTAAAAAGATGGTTATATTCTAATTGCGAAAAAAGAGCAGATCACAATAGTTCTCTGTATAATCTTCATTTATTTTGCAGGGTATGATAAGAAAAATGTTTAGGGAATTAAAAAAAAAGATTAATATGAGAATCTTCATCAATAATACAAAAGTTCTATTCAATAAAAAAAAAACAAAAGAGAGACATCATATTTTTTTTATGTAACATTTCCTTGACAACATAAGGTAATCTATCTAAAAGTTTCTCAATAATAAGATCACCATGTTCATAACGTCAATATAAATTATCAAATCTGTCTTGTATTGCATTTGTGGTAATTGTGTTTGATCTAGCTGTAAGTAGAACCACTGGATGGACTTCGGATCTGGTCGAGTCCAAAAACTTTGGACATCACAGGCCTTAGCTGCAAGACTAACTTTCATTGAAATTAATACATAGTTGAAATTTTTTTCTTCTTGTTCAGAATAATGAAGTTCGGCGATCTCTTATCATCATAATTTTCGACATTTTTTCTTTACGCATGTGTCCATGGCTATTGGTATTGACAACTACTTGACACTACCCATTGATTATTCTAATCAAATAATATGAAATTCATTAGTTTTCTTTCTTGACAGGTTTTGATAAACATGACGAGAAAAATATATAAGGTTATGAGGTACGATTTTTCTACAAATTGATGTCTGTCATTGTGTTTTTCTCTGACAACAACAGTTATAGATCTCTGTCAATCTTTCGTTCGAATATGAAACTTATCTTGGTAACGACTGTAGATTAATCTCATAGATTTATTATTGATAGGTGACTATCATTAGAAACTAAGAATATTAAATAAATAGAAGCGTTATACATTATCTGTGAATTTCTTACTTTTTATTATATGCTATGATTATAGTGGGTCTCATGGCCACTCAATGAAAACATTAAAAAGACAAAGTACATAATATTGACTTAATAGAATGGAGTATTTTTAAGCGAATTTTTCTTAAAAATATGTTTCTTTCTTTAGTGAAAATTCAGTTGGAAGTGAATCATTAATAAAAGGTGAAGGTGGTAATGAATCAAAGAAAAATGAAAAAATTACAACTAAATCGGTAATTAAATCATTTAAAGTAATTAGCAAAAACTATATTTTATTTCTTTAAGACTCGCAATTTTGTAACATTTGAAAAAGCATTAGCCACAGAATGGAAACCAAATCGACGACAAGCAACAACACGTTCAGCTGTAATAACATATAATTTATTACATGGTAAGTGTATATATATGTATATATGATCAATATGAAATTAAATGATGGTTTCTTTATTTTTAAGCTCTTTTGTCATTTTATGAACAATATCGACGGGCACCTGCATTAGTTACACAAGATGTTGATGTACCAAATTTAATGAAAATTATTCATGACAAAATAGCTTCATCAACAGCTTCTGCATCATCATCAAATACTATGAATAATGAAGAATTTAATGAAGAATTAGTCAAGTAAATAATATTTTTATCGAATCAATATTATACATATATTAATATTATACTTATGTAGGGATATTTTAACAGATAATAATGCTGTCTCATCAATTGTTGGTGGTATAATGAGTCATGATATTGTCAAAGTAAAAGATTTATTAAAAATAAAATTAATAGTTTTATTGATTGATTTTCTTTATATTAGGCAATTTCAAAACAAGAACCTAAAGATAATTTTTTCTTTTTCAATGGAGTAGCATGTGTTGGATTATCAATACCAATTGCTTGTTAAACTTGTTAAATACATTCTAGAATCTCTTATTACTTGTTCAAATTTCTTTTCTTTTTTTTTGTTCTGTTAAAATTTAAAAAATAAATGTTACATATATGATTAGTTTCAAATGTTCATCAAAATTTAATGTTCTATAATTTATTCGATTGTTTATAGTCATTAATAAGTAAATACATTCAAACAAAACTTGTAATCGAGAATAAATAAGCTAATCACTTTTTCGAAGACCCAAAATAGGTATTATAATGACTAATATTATAATGACGATGGCAACAGATACTGAAACAAAAATAGTTAATTTCTAAACGAAAAATGGAACGTTTTGCACAAACGAGCATAATTATTTTGTCTTTGTTCAACTTACTCGTCGAGAAATACTACGTGATGTTCGGCGAACTAGTGGTCGTTCACCTTGTGTTGCTGCATTTTCAATAAAAGCAGTATTAGCAGACATTGTATCCAGAGCATTTTTGACTTCCTAAAATAAAATTATTTAAAAAAAAATTAACAATTTCAAATCTAAATTATTCTATAGAAAAATTCAATATCCATACGTTTATTGTTAATTTATTGTTCAAAGGTTCCATAATATTTTTTTCAGTTTTACGACAATTATTTTGTAACTGCGTCAATTTTTTAGTATGATATAAAGTGTTTCATTATTGACGTTCCGTATATGAATGGAGAATATCCTATCCAAGCATTTTCCTTTTATCATATGTCAGAAAAACTTATTTGATTGGTCAAATACCAAGGATGTGTTATTCCCAATTGTAAAGCTGATTGAGTCTTTTTTTTCTTCATATTGAGATTTGTTTGTCCGATACAAAAACTAGATCTAGAATATTAATATATACTTTTTTCTTGTTAAATGACGTCATCGCCTAAAAGTGTCAATATAATTTATGTTGCTTTCGCGTTATGACAAACAAGAGATCATTTACTATTTAAAAAGGCAAAGAATATTATTATAACAAGCAAATCGTTGTTGTGTTTTTATTTTTTTTTCTTTGCTGTTCTGTTTTTTCTTTGTTTGAGATGAATTTCTTGCGAATGCATGTATCCTAGAAGATTCAGCTGCATAAAAAATGAATCGACACTACGATATTGCCATTATGTCATTGACGTGTCACACAAGAGAGAGAGAGAAAAAAGAAAAAAAGAATAATGTCTTTTTTTTCTTCCTTTTTTTTCTTCTACGCTTACAATGATCAGTATTATGCATACAAGCAAGGTGCAGTCGATTTCTATTGAGTAGCGTCATATATAAAATCAGGTAATATTTTACCCTGTTTTTTTTTCTAAAATGCAAATTACTAATGCACAAAAATCCTCTCTAACTCATGCTCTATTGAAAAAAAGAAAAATAACAATTCATTCGATTGATCTTTACTTTTAAGAGTAGACGAGTAGTTTTTTGTTTTTTTCGATTCACTGTAGAAAGAAGAACATTCGAACAGACATCATTGCAAGTAAAGTTATTTTTTGGATGACTCATTGTAAATTACTACATAAATATGTTTTTTCTTTAATAAAGGTTTCTGTTTTTGTGAAAAAATGGCATCGTTTTATCCATCATTTTTATACAGTGAGTGACTAAATTTTATATTGATGAACATCATAAGGAAGTTAATTTGTAGATTTCATCATTTTTTTATCTATTTTTTGTCGATTTACATATTCACAAGTAGCAACAGACTCATTGATATCTCCAATAGTATCTAATTCGAATGATACAACAGGCTTTACGAATACACCTATTAATATTAATTCGATATTGTCTTCGAATTCAACTCCATTTTCAAATAATTCAATATCAGTTAGTACTACTACTTTAACAAATCCGTTAGACATATCAATGACGACAATTACAACAGTTGATAATTCAACAAGTACAAGTATTTCTACAAATCCATCAACAAGATCTAGTGTCGATAATACTCATCCCTCAGAGGGTAAATATAAGTTAGAATTATTAATAAAAAAAGAAACTATATATATACACACACATTAATTGAGATAAAAACATGGCGACCTTAAAACAAATTTATGTAGTTCTATGAGATAAACAAGTGTTAATAATATTTAGAAAAAATAACAGAAGAATATATGTTTGTTTTTGGTTACGGATTATTATATGCCCTTTTCTTTTCTTTAGCATCATCAAAACCAGGCTGGTGGTTATTGGTTGCCCTTCTTATAACAGTAGCCATCGTTATTATTGCTGGTGTTATTTTCTATAATCGACAGCATTCTCCATATAGACGGTAAGGATTATTTATTAGAGCAATATGTTTTATATTATGATGCATGCATATGATTTTTCTTATTAACATGACTTAGCTAGAATCATGTAAAAGTAATGACAGCCTTAATAAAGATTATATATTTATCAATAATAAGAGAATATATAGATGAATTTTGCATTCTTAAAATATATTACTTCAATGTTGAAATAAATAAATAGAATCATTTAAAATTCTATACTTTCTTATAAGATTAAGAGAAAAAATTTTTCTTATTGAAATATGTTTTGTTTACTAGTTCTTTTTGTATTGTTTTTATTATCTAAGATATTATTTTGCTTCGAGGGTAAGGGTACATGAATGATTAATTTTAGATTTATTTCCTGTTTACAATGGTGTAGACAGTGCAAGTTCAGGTATATGTCATAAGTTAACTTAAATTTTAATAAATTATGCTTCTCTCAATTTTTGTTATGTTAATAACAGTATTGTCTGACATGCAATAGCATGTTTCTTCTTTATATTGATTGATTATTTAATTTATTTTAATCAATTTCTAAATTTATGTATTGATTTTTCTATATTAGGTTTCTTCGAAATTGGCGATCACGTGAAGATGATACAGATAATATTATTTTACAACTTGAACAATCAGAACTATCACCTGGACAATGGCCACCTCGAATCTCTTTTACTTAATTATTTATTAATTTTTTTTTCTGTTTATCTATATAGATATATAAATAAGAACAATTTTATTTGTTATAAAAATTTAATATTTATTTTGTGAAAATTATTACAACATTCAATCAAGTTCGATGGTTAATTTGTTTTCTACGGTTAAGTGTTTTTTTTATTTGCATAATTCGAATATGAATGATTTCATTTCGTCGATACTACATTGAACTTATAGTAATCTATATGGCTCTTTCAAATGGTAGAAACTAATATAGTGTAAAATATGACAACAATAAAAAAGCAGTAATACAATTTGCATTTATAACCTCTGAACTGGAATAAATCGAAGTCTAATTCAAATATCGCGTGAATATCGTTTGAAATTTGACGCTAACTTAAAATTTTTTCTTAATTGATTGTATTGCTGATGAGAATTAATCATTTTTTATGAAGATCAAAGAATTGACTACAAACAAACTATTCTTAAGTTATATGCTATTGGATGTACTATTTTTGTTATCTTTGTGTGATGAATAGGTCAAAGTATTCATGTTTACAGATGATGTGCTGAGCAAAAAGCCACCCCCAATCTTGAGAAATTTCCATTTGTTCTGAGCGTTTTATTCGTTTTCTATGCTCACTAATTTTCAAAAAAACGCTCGATTCCACTCCCAATTCTAACGACTTCTAAACATCCCTGAATATATATATTCAGTTCAGTGATCCATGAAATGTCTTATATGCCTTTGAGATAATAGAAATATAAATGTATTTGTAAAAGATGTGATAGTATATAGAAAATTGCACTACAAACCTTTTCTTTTTCAAGCTTATTAGTATTGATCACAAATACAGGTCACTCTGTCATCATCATCATTAATCAAAGGATGAATATTTAAAAAAAATATTGTATTGGTGCAATGACTTTGTTCTCAAGTTAATTATATTGTCGGCTCTTTTGTTAGGTTGTCATTATTAGCCAAAAAAACAAAATGGGCGTGAGATTGATTTAAGTACATGAGTGATTTTATATGCGTGCTATCAAAAAAAAACAAAAATGATAAGAAACAGTTGAAACCATTGTTGTATAAATAGCACAGAATAGTAACAAATCTGTACAATCTTTTTTTTTGATTTTCCCATGTGTTTTTTAATCATTTTGTATATTTGTCACCTTCTCAGAGTGTTACTTATATAATTCGAAACAACAAATGATTGAAACAAGAACGAAATATGATAAACATAAATTGTTTCTCGTTCATTTAGCTTAATATAATCAGATAGAAATGATGAGTATATGATTGATAGAAAATATGAAAAATGACAATTTCTACATCATATTCGAGTATTACACGATGAGTATGTTACATAACTTGGTTCATGACTGCTTATTTTTTATCGTTCTAATTTTGTTCTACTAAGATAATATCTTATTGGAGATGATCATTCAGTTCAATTTCTTGTGCTACAGAATATGAATTACATGTCTTATTATTCATTTATTTTTTACAAATGAACGACCCGGTCATCCATGTTTCTTTTTACTACTATTCATTTTAAAATATCATATGCTTCACTGGTTTTCTAATAGCTATTGATAAGAACACAACAGAAATCTGCGGTTTTTACCATTCAAGAGAGAAGATTTGAGGTCATCATAGTAGATCAAAATTTGATTGGTAGATGATTGATCAGTTTGGCGTGTTTTTAGGGGCAATTTCCAAAAATAATAATTTGAAGTTATTTTCCTTTCGGTTTATACTTTTAATAACATTATTCGATAGACGGAGATCTTCTTGTTTGATCTACATAAGGCTAACAATCATAGTTTGTTTCATTCGAGAGTTATAAGACTTTTCCTAACACTTCCGCTTCCAGTCAATAGACCTGTAATCATCTGCAAAAGCAGCTAGGCAGAGATAATTCATCGTACTTTTCTTTGTTACGTGGAAGCTGATTGTGGAATTTCAGAAATATTGGGATAACAGTAGGGTACTCACTGTTCAATGGACTAAAATCGCAAATTCAAGGAAAAGTTTTATTACACTTGAAGAGGATAAGATAAAAATGTTAACCTTGCATGGATCGAAAGGGAAATAACTTCAGAATATCATTTTCGACAATCTCTAATAATAACTCATCTGATCGATCAACAATTGACCAATCGAATTGTGTCATATTTCGATAGTCTCAGGTTTTCTTTTTTGAACGGTGAAAGTCGTAGGTTTCTATGATGTTCCTATCAAAAACAATTTAGAACATAGTGAAGCCCATCATAGTTTGAAAATAGATAGCAGCTTTAATTCGTAAAGTCTTGTGGACAACACGAAATGTTATAAGTCTTGTTATTCGTATTAATAAGCTATGAGGTTCTGGCGTACAACATATTAGTTCATTGATATTTTTTTTCCAAAGTAACGTTTTAGTCAATCCATTCTTGATTGGATAGTATTTGAGATTTCATATTTAGATATCTTAGATGATTTAATAAAAACTTAGACAACATTGAATAACTAACTATGAACCATATGGGTGTTGTTCTTTTAGCAAGATGAGCTAATAAATGAAAAGAAAAGATTTAAGACCTAGTCAAAAATCAATTAATTTTACAATCTCTACACCTTTTGAAAATAGTAATCAAAAGAACATTACTAGCTTTCCCAACAGTTCTTCTTGTTTGATAATGTATATTTGTTTCTGTGTTACTTATTATCGGTGCTGTTTTTACTCTAAGCACATATATTCAAGGTCATTTTGATAAATATCGAACAGCATAAAAGAATGATTTACATAGTGTATTTGGACTATATTCAAGAATGTAAATCTCATCAATATCTTACCAGATTGTTTATAAACGTAATTGTTCGTATGACGATAGTCGAAATATTTTAAGAGCAATTATTTCTGATATGTCGCAAGTCTATTGCATAAACTGATTCTTTTCTTCAAAATAATCTTTTAAGTCAAGCAATTTCATTTTTTTTTAGTTTTGATTGGATCATGTACTACTGTAATATTTTGTTTAATATCCTATTGTGAAGAAATAAGTGGTGTAGAAAATTATTTAATTATTTTTGCTAATATTACAATTCGAATTATGTGTCCCATATTCATTCTTGTATTAAAGTTAATCAAATAGAATTCATCGGAAGCAATATAAAACATTATAGATTTTTATATTTTTACTTTGTGTAGTATTTTTAATGTATATAGAAAATAGAAACAATAATAAGGATAACAAATGTCATGCAACAAATGGCAAATAATAGACACAAAGAAAACAATTAGTTTTCAAAATATCACTTGTCACGTCTTTGACTAGCTTGACATCTACTACCATGGTTACTTGCTCAGCCACGAGAACTACCAACATGACTCTCTCGGCCATCACTACCACGAAAACTACCTAAATACAAATATATCAGCGAAGTTGAAAGACAAATCATCTATTCACCGAGAAAAAATAGTTGCAATCCTTATGTTAATTATATCTTCATAATAGAAACACATGTCTCCAAATTTGATTACTTATTCTAAAAGTGCTCGAAATTTTCTATCATTCCGTTTATTCATGTTTTAGTTGACACGCATGCAATATCAAAACAAATTGATTTCGATGAAGGTACTTTCATTATCAGAGTTCCACAAACTTGTTTTAGTCATTGTTATCAAAATCAGTTTTTGAAAAACTTTTTATCACTATAGAATTATTTTTTTTAAAGTCATGATAAATGGTGCTCCAGAAGTTCTGCAACGATTTTAAAATTCATCTTCTTGTAGTTAACAAGAGCAAACTCTTTGCAACTTTGGCAGATTATTTTACCTACTCAGTATTAAAACATTACAAATCTTGAAGACCATAGCTTTTACTAAGGATGAAAAATTGTGACAACACTATCATGTAGTGTCTTGCCGATTTTCCCAATCTTCTTGATCATTATTTTTAAATAAAAAAAATTTGAAAATACAAATAAACGCATATCAAGCTATCCATGTTCATGCATTTCATTACCATCATGATCGATTACTAATTATGATCATGCTAGTATTTTATCAACCATTGGTTGACATACAGAAACACTAATTTTGATCCATTCCTTTTTCGATGTCGTTTTCCAGTTGTTGCATATTTTATTTTATTATTGCTGTTTTACGAGGTACATCTGATCTTGGTAAGTCTTTCATCTCGTTTCTCTCCAATATTCTCCAAATTATTAGCCTCAAAGCATTTTGACTTGCACAACAAGGTGAACTTTCGGAGAAAAGAAAAAATTCTGCAATTTCTTTTGCTGCCTATGATGAATGTAAGTTTTTAAAATGTAATGCCAAGGAATAAAATGCCTTTTTATCTATAGCAGACGGTTAATATGGCGTTCTGAATAGATTTAGTTACAACAGACGACAGTTTATGATTATTTATATTTCGCGCATTAGCACATGTAGAAATGAAAATGTGTTTAGTAACAAATAAACTTTCTGTTCTGACAAGTCTTCGTTTTAAGCTATTGAAAAGCTAATTAAATATTACAAGACACTGTTGTCAGTTCCTGATGTAGGTAAAGCTATCGCCTCAAATTTTGTAGTTATTTTAAATCGTTTCAGAATTTTTGGAACACTCTTCATCTTCGAAATGAAATAGGACCAGATAGTTTATTAGAACTTGCATTGCTGAACATTGAACGTGAATTTCAAACTAATTATGGTGAAATGATAAATGAACTCATAGCATTAAAGAACAAAAAGAAAATAATATTTTGGTTGAACTGATAAATAGTTTTCTATAATGAATTTGTAGCACTACTGAGTTTGTTCATATCAAGTTTTAAGAGCGCAAAAAATAAACATAATAAAACCAAGGGGAAAGGAGCGAAAATGCCGTACTTCAGCGTACTTCCTGTACTTCCAAACTATGTTATAACTGTGCATCAGATCTCTTTATCTATTTCAAGTCTACTATCGATCTGTGTTACGGTATGTTAGCCAGAGTCCAGTCTACGTAAGTCTATCTGACAAGAAAGTCCAAATACTTCATGGTACTTCCGAATTGGAAGTACCATGAAGTATTTGGGCTTTAGGGTGAGGTTGACTTAAGTAAGCTGGACTCCGACTAATATACCGTAACACAGGTCGATAATAGACTTGAAATTGATAAAGAGATCTGATGCACAGTTATCACATAGTCTGGAAATACAGGAAGTACGCTGATGTACGGCATTTTCGCTCCTTCTCCCTTATAACAAAACACTAGGACAATAGTAGCAATTGCTAAGCCTGAAACACAAAATCTATAAAAAAGACTTGAAACTGACCGTGAGTCTTTATTGTTCTATGCTTGTGCTTTTAGAACTCACTTGCCACCAAGGGAGAAACGGCAGACTTGAAGTACATCCAAGTACTTTAAAATTGTATGAGAGTACTTTGAAAAACACTTTAGAATTACAAAAGAGTACTTTAAAATTACAGAAAAGTACTTTAAAGTAGCTCAAAGTGCGTTTAAGTAGTGTAAATTACCTTCAAGTACAAAGTCTGCTGTTTCCCCTTGCTTGCCACACTGAAAAAAATAGAGTCTGATCCGTAATTATTAGCTTTCCCAAACGAAATACAGTCATTACTCAACACCTCATTTAAAAGAAAATCAAAATTTAATTTATATATTAAACAAAATGTAATTGTGAAAAAGTCTGAAATGAAGAAACGAAACTTATATTGGCAAAGAAAATAATATAATATGAAGCATTAATACAAGTGCACCAAGAGAATTCAACATCAGAAACAGTACAACATTATCATTATGAGAGCAATTACAAATGTATGGTAACATAAGGAAAGTATAAGTAATTAACAAGGAAATAAATTAGAAGAAAAGACGATATTTTTATAGCTTATTTATTACTTTTATATACAAAGACATTATCAATAGTTAATACAATAGAAATGAATGAAAAGGAGAACAAAAAAAAACAATGGAAGAATAGGACAGTGCTAGCGAAGTAAACAAAGGAAAAAATTCAAAAAAGAAAACTTCATACAGTAACACCGTCTTGTTCGTTCCACCATAAATAAATAGCAAAAAGAAAACAGCGATTAAAATTAAAAAAGAACTGTAGGCGCGAATTTTATATGGATATTTATTATTGTATAGTCTCGTGGAGCCAGTTTGGTTTGACAAAATAACATAAGTTTTAAAATAAATAAAGACTACAATAGAAAGACAAAATAAATAATTTGAAAAACAATTCAATATGATATTCCTTCATGCTTGTCAATCCTTAACATGATGTCTCTTATTAATGGCCGCCTTAGTCTTAGGTTTCTTAGTCTTAGATTTTCTAGTAGTGGTTGCTACTGTAGTTCTAAATGGAGTGGATCTTGTTGTTATTGTTGTGGAGGCTGTTGTTGTTGTTGTGGAGGTTTTTGTCGTTGTTGTTGTTTTTGTGGTTGTTGCTGTTGTAGATATTGTGGTAGATGTGGTTGTTTTTGTTGTTGTTGTTGTGGATGTTGTTGTGGTTGTTGCTGTTGTAGATGTTGTGGTAGATGTTGTTGTTTTTGTGGTTGTTGTGGATGTTGTTGTGGTTGTTGCTGTTGTAGATGTTGTGGTAGATGTTGTTGTTTTTGTTGTTGTTGTTGTGGATGTTGTTGTGGTTGTTGCTGTTGTAGATGTTGTGGTAGATGTTGTTGTTTTTGTGGTTGTTGTGGATGTTGTTGTGGTTGTTGCTGTTGTAGATGTTGTGGTAGATGTTGTTGTTTTTGTTGTTGTTGTTGTGGATGTTGTTGTGGTTGTTGCTGTTGTAGATGTTGTGGTAGATGTTGTTGTTTTTGTGGTTGTTGTGGATGTTGTTGTGGTTGTTGCTGTTGTAGATGTTGTTGTTTTTGTGGTTGTTGTTGTGGATGTTGTTGTTGTAGATTTTGTTGTGGTTGTTGCTGTTGTAGATGTTGTTGTTTTTGTGGTCGTTATTGTGGATGTTGTTGTTGTAGCTATAGGTTGCGAACAACCATAGAAGTTTCGAATTGCTTGAATATCATAGAAACTTAAAGTGTCGGTTTCTCCAAACGTTATACTCGAGTTAAGTGCCACCAGGGTATCGGAGCCGTTTATACTAAAAAAGTTTCTACCATAATGCATTATTGAGTCAAAATCATAAGGTGTATTCACAGTATCCACTTCACTGGTATTATATTTTCGGAAGTTATTTTCTTTGCCTAACCAATGTTAACAAATCGAAATATTTTTATGATTTTAAAATAAGAATTTCAATGAAATAAAATTTATCTAACCTGGTATTATATTCTCCCAAATGACTCTGACATAATCATCGCGATCTGGTCGTGATTGTTCATGACGGAAGCCTAAATTGATAGAAAAATTAGACTTAAAATGGTACTCTTCTTAATTAATTAGAATTCAACTTCGCTAGTGTCGATCGATATAGACAATATCTATCACACATAGTAAATGATATCCAATTCAAAATGAGGAATTTTCATGTCTAGCTGTATTTTAGATCGATTTTATCCCGTAGGTAAAGAGACAAAGTAAAAATATCGAGAAAAAACTTATTATAAGTGACACTTTTTGAATACTAGGAGAATACTAATAAGATTCAAACTAAAAAAGTATTCATTTTAGAAAATGGCATTGGGTTTTTACTTTGAATAGTTAATCAATATTCATAACAGAATACCAAACTTAAGAGATACTTTTCTTCAGACCGAAAATTGTTAGATTTGGCAATTTTCGTTTTTCTCTGCTCTATATATGATTTCAAATGTTCTCTATCTATTGGAAACAGTTCATGCATCACAATATAACTCTATAAAGCCAAAAGACTAAACAAAATGGAATTTTTTCGCTGAAAAATATACAAGTTTACGCAGTATTTCGTTGTTTTTGAAAAACGTTAGATTTTTACACCGAAAAATGTAGAATCGCCCCTTTTCTTAATCACAATACATTCGATTGAGCTGTTACTTTCTTCTTATCACATTAGAAAGTATTCAGAGTTGTAACTTTTTTTTCTTCTTTGAAATATGATATACCGCTGGTTCTTACCATAGTTTACCAAACAATAAGTTCCTTTTTTTAGAAAAACAAAATAACAGAATATACATTTTGTAGGATGAACTCAGGATGTCGGTTTTTTTCTGTACGAATAAAGAATTTAGACAATCAACGCAGTGTCTGGCATCTATAAACACAATGTTTCGCTTTATCAAGCATGTTGCGATTGAGAATCAAGGCAATAAGAAAAGAAGGAGACAATTCGCACCGTTATGACCCGAACATCTCCTACTGAAAAGCATCTAGGCATAATAAATCTATGACAACTTTTCTCTACTCATCGCGATGTATTTGCTTTAAAATCTTCAAAATTTTTTGTTAAGCTGTTATCAAAAATTGCCATCAAGAGGTGAATTTCCTTTAAGACTTTTCAAATTTCAAATTATCATGATCAAGATGAACACCTTTGAACTTCAATTTGTTCAAATTCTAATCTTAAGACAACTAATGACAAGCTATATACATATAGTTTTACGAATATTTCTTTAAAAGTTTCTCAGACTTCTGTTGAGCTCTATTATGTCTTGAACAATAGTGTATTTTGCTTTATTGTTTGCTTTCTATTGATATTTCAATTAAGTATATAGTTTAGACAGTGGTCAATACTTAGACAAACAATAAGAAAAAAGAATGTATTGTATTACCTAATGTATGGATTAATTCATGCATAATTGTGCCTGTGTAAAGACAACCAGTATTTTGCAATGTTACCGTTCGATTCAATGTATATCCTGTGAATCGTCCAACCTGGAAAAATTGAAATATAAATATATTAAAATATAAATAAACAATTCTAGTAAATTACTGACATAAGATGAACAGCCTATTCCGTTTTCAATTATGATGTAATATTCTCCATCAGAAGCAACTTTCTCACGAAATTGTACACAAAGTACATTATTAACTGCTGTTAAGTTTTCTAGTGTTCGCATAGCATTAATAATTATATTTTGTTCTTCAGTACCTACAAGTAAACATATTCTTTTCACGGGATTATTTATATATTATGTCAAAGATAGAGATTAAAAATAATCTATTATTGAAAAACTATATAAATATGACTTTTTTACCACATATTACATTTCAACATCAAACACTATTATTACATGTCAAAAAGAAGACTTACTGTAATTCGATGAAATAGTATATGGCACAATTCCACTTGGCCAACGTACATAATCACCAAGCACTGCTACACCTCTCTAGATTGTATTGAAACAATGAAATTATTATTAGTTCATGAACAGAAGATGAATTGTCAAACTTACACGCATTTTAGGAATACGTATGTCACCTTCGAAATATCCACCTAAAAAATCACAAGCATATATATATATATATATATATAGTATTGTTCGTCGTATCAAACAAAATGATCAGGTTTTTTTATTATTCGCTAGTAAATCACATTTATCTATTGTTTTGTAAGGGCACCAACAATATAGTTTTGAATAGTAGGTGATACAATGTTCTCATAAAAAGTATCTGATTTTAAGTCGTTTTGTTCGATTTAATTAGGAAAACTTCTAATCAAGATTAAAAATAACGATTTTATCCAAGATACACTAGCTATTATGAATGATTAAAATATACAATATTAATCATTCACAAAATTAAATATTAATAGATATGAGATTTGATATCAGGCTCAACGAATTCTAAAAATACTATATAATCTAATGAAATGCATTTAATGTCCATTATGAAATGTGATTGAACGTCTTGTAAACATAGACTACTTCGATATTTGACTACTAGATTATCACAAAATCAGACCAAAAAGGGTCAATTAATTTCATTTTATAGGCCTACATATTCATCCGAAATCAATATAACTAGATTGTTTTTTTTTCATTTCAGGAGATTTTTCGATATAATACTTACCCATTTGTTCAAAAATTCTGTTTCTCTTCGACGAATCCTTAATTTCAACAATCAAATATCATAAATTATCTTAAAAGGAAAATCATCTGTATAAAAACTAACCGTTGGTATTGGTAACCCATGTAAATTTGTTGTAAGAGCAAAAACAATCAGGACCAATAAACATATATTAGCCATTTTATATCCTTGATCTTGATTAGTAATATAATGCCTTTGATCAATTCCTATAATATAAACTTGTGCTTTGGGGTACTCACAAATTCGAAAATTCTAATGAATAATATTTTACATCTGCTATCTTATAAAAATCATTCTTTACGTATCTTTTGGGAAGCATATAGTTTACTCATAGAATTCTGTCTGCTATAACTCAAACGTAATGCAATTTCAGAAAAAAACACTAATTGTTTGTATTTATCTTGCATTCATCATTAGATTATAAACACTAAAATAGCATTTTTAATTTTAATAACGAAAAATGTTCGTTAAATTAGTTTTATCAATCATTATAAAAGAAACAGATATTTCAACTGTTGATCGATGAGGAAGTTTTCTGATCTAGTGGCTAACTAAGATATTGTCATGTAATTGAACGACAACAAACAGACTACAGATAATTTAAATAGAGACATTTTACCGAAAACTAACTCTCAATACAACTAATTTGTATTTCGATCTCAAAACCCAAGAAGATTTTAATGTACACATTTATGAATGCTGTCATAAGGTTTTAAATAGGAACAGTAAATCTGATGTGAAAGAATATAGTGTAGCTTAGTTTGACATATTGTCTTCTTATTCACTCTTGCATGTATATTGTGTCAAATATGCAAAAGATTATTTTCAAGAAGGTCAAGTAAAATTATATAAATCTCACAGATATCGATTGAATTGTTCAAGAGTTATTCACGTTTGTTTTCTCGATTGACTTTTGGAGCACCTAGTATTTTTTTTTCATTTTGAGGACATAGAAACGTTGAATGAGTGGTGAAAGTTTTTTGAAAAAAATTTTTTTTTAAAGTGTTTATTTAAACGATGAGGAGGTGGACGCGGGCAAGTTTTAAAAAGACTGATACTTGACACCACACATGTATCTCAAAATTATGGTACTAACACATAATGAATGGTTCTAAGCACCATGGAACTAACAGTTAAATTTGTGATCTAAATAGTATTATACTCAATGGAACATGATGCATAATCGTTCTCGGCAAATTTTGGATTAAATTCTTTGATGGCACATCCATTAATTTTTTACTTCTTTTTTTTGGTTTTACTGTTCATATTGATCTTATCAAGACGAAAATGAAATAGACAACAAAATTTATTCAATAAAAGAAACAATCAACATTAACTCAAACTAAAGACAATAGATAAAGAACCTTAAAACGGCTCTAGAAAAACAAAACACTGGGGCTCTATTTCTAGGTAACAGCAATTGAAATAGAATAGTAAGAAAAACTGGAATGCATACACTAAGACATTCGTTTATTTTTTTCTTCTATGAGTAACAGAAAACCCTGGGAAAACATTAGAATTTTTTTATTTATTGTGTTTAATGAGACTTTATTTTGTGAAATTTTGTCTAAATCAATGAGTTTATGTTGTTTATAGAGGTTTATTTCCATTAGAATATTTTTTTTCAAAGACAATGTTTTGAAAATGAATTCGTACATTCCAAATTCACCTAAACTTGAATGTCTACTGTGACATGTAATATCTTATGACCAACTTTCATAGAAAATTCACGAGTGCTCTCGATTGAAATCTAGTTTGTTTTGCAAGTTCCGAGCAACAAAAAGAAAAGTAAAGATCTTTAAGCTTGTGTCTTTTGATTAGTATTTTTTATTGATGTTTATTTCTCTTAGAGTTTCATGTTGCTCTATAGATGATATGTAAAGTGCAAATAAATTATACTCGTATAAGTTATGTTGATTTATATTGCAAGAAACAAAAATGAAAGAGTTTTTAGCTAAAATAGTTCCTGTGTTAAAATAATAACTGTCTTCTCGCGAAATTTCAAAGTCCAGGAATTTAAAATATGAATTCGCTTTTTCATAGAAATGCTTTCGAAAATCATTTTTCGATGTCATAGAAAAACAACGAGGAAAATAGGACTACTCTTTCTAGTAAAAAAAGAAACATTTCATAAAAATCATAAAAACATGATTTTTAATCAATGTGATGTAATTAATAGCGGTGGAATTTGAATCCAGTTTTGTATGTATTACATTGATTATACTAAATTTCTTCATGATGTTGAAATAGGTTTTAATCAAAAATAATCAGAATAATCGATGAAGTTTCGATATTTTTTATCAATTTTTGTTGATAATCGATTTAGAATCGAGTTTTCGTATCACGTTTTTTTCATGATCTGTCTATTAAAAAGAACAAGTACGTGACAGTTTTCCTTAATGCAAACGAAACTCATGTTGTATGTTTGTTTATACTACCACCAATTTACTCAGAATGAAACTTGTGATTTTCAGTTACAGCTATAAACAATTCAAAAGAATGTCTTTTTTTCAAGTTTGAACTATTCATTAGAAAGATTCAAATTAACGAGACAAAAAACGATTTCACAATATATTTTACTAAAAAACGTTTTTCAAGCACCACCTATAAAATAAATTTATCTCATAACTGACACCGACTTGAACTCTGTGGCTAGTACAGACGGTTCAGACACATTATCATTACTGAATTCTGTCACTGTCACTTGTAACAGACTTCAAAAACATTCACTCGTTTTGATACCCTACAATCTATTGCAACATATTCAAAAGGAAACTGCCCTGTAGCGCACGTTATGCCGACCAATATACCGTCGATAGTTTTTCCGTAGTCATTACATGAAAAATTTGGCTTTATTATTACATAAAACAAAACTATTTTATAATTTTACGGCTAATCAAAAAGAAATCTTACCTGGGTATATATGAAAGTAAAGATGATGGATCGAGCTATGTATCACTTACTGATGTCGGCGATGGGTATTGAACTTTCTATAAGGTAAAATACCTCTGTATACGTCTTGTTGTCGTTACTGAATAATAATGAAGAGTAGCAGATAGGACACACTTTTATAGGACCCCGATCTCTTTAGACATTGCTTACATTAATATTATTATCATTTTTTTTAATATTATTTATTGACAGGTGTCGATATTGAAAATAATAAATCATGAAAGCTCGATATGTACTTAAGATAATCTTATTGACGATGAGTAAAGATATATTATTGTCTTGTTACCTTTAGTTTTCCTTTGACTCTTTTAATGCTTTTTTTTTGATTGAAGATAGTTTTTCTCATTAGTACAATATCGACAAAAGATTTCACATTTTCAACTGGCATCACTTAAGCTTTGTTCAGCAAGTCTATTGGAGAAAGCATGGCTCAATCGAAAATTACATTGAATTATTTGCTTGATAATCGATCGATAGCTATTACTTCCGAAAGATAGATCAAAAATTGTTTGTGAAGCAGCATTTGTTTATAAGTAATTTCATAGGTTTTACTATGAAATGATAAGATTAATTTTTTTTGTATCGATAGAAATAGACATGAAATTTTCATTAAAAAGTAATTATTGAATAAGAGACATTAGTTGGGTATGTCATCAATAAATATACATAAAAAATAAACTCGTAAAAAGACATTACATTAAATATTATTAATCTTTCGTTAATGCAAATTTTAATAAATGGAGACCATTAATTATGTCTTTCAAATATTATATCAAAGTTGAAAATAACGAAATAGAAAAAAATTATACGTAATTTTTCGTCTCTATAAAATACAATCATTTTATGCTCGATACTGGCTTGTACCTTACTACGAATAAGCATACATCAATATTCGACGTAAAAATATAATTATTTTTATGATACTAACTATGAGTAACTGGGTACTTTTATGAAGGCTTTTGGTTTTAGGCACACACTATTGAATAAGTCATGTTTTTCTCTTCACATTATATACAGTCACTACTTTCGCGTAGGTAATAAAAATATTTTTTTCAAAAACACTAGTTCTATTGTTTATATGTACTGATTAAGAACATACTCAATCAATAAAATATTCGGAATATCAAAGAAAACAAATATTAGGTATCTTTGCATTATGATACAAAGTAGTAATATAAGAAAGGCTATTCTTTATTTCCGTTACATTTTTGTAACTCTCAATAGTAGAGTTTTTTCTTTGTTCTATACACTTATCTTTCTTAGCAATTGATGAAGATAGTAGTTTCTGAATTTTTATAATTACCGCTGATATAGTTATCTTGTTCTAGGAAAGAGATGCACATAAAAAAAGAACAAGTAAACTAACGTCTATTTTCAGCAAAATCCCATCTCAATTACCTGATCTGAACTGCAGTTAGTAATCTCGTAATCTTGATTGAATCAATTCTGCAGCTTTTAAATTAGAAAACTTCGATATTTGGTTTACAATCAAGTTTTTCAAAGTCAGTTGCCATCTCAATTCACGAATGAGGCTATGTAAAAGAGTAATAAATTATCAAATCTACATTTCTTGATAATTTTACAGCTAATCGTGCAATCAAACCAGTGAACATTCGCCATAACAATAATAAAACTGTATCCATGCATCAATAAAAAGGTTGAAAAACATCGGCAGCTGTAAATACTATATAGAACTTGAACAACCCTACTAAGTATATGAAAAGGAACATAGTCATGAAAATAGCTATACATATATCTATTTTCTCTAAAACTATTAATCTTAGATTAAGTCCATAGAAACTGACTATCTTAAAGGAAATGTAAATAATAGTTTCATGATAGTAAACTTTCGTACAGAGCTGGATAAAGTACTAGAGTACGATTTTTATGGTACTCGTACTCGAGAAAATTCATACTTGTCCAGCTCTGCTTTCGTGCAAAACTTGAGTTCTATTAAATGACGACTATTTTAATAAAATAAAAATCATTGTTTAATTACCAACGACACTTTGAGATGAATCCTCATATTCTCGA